TGTTGGTGCTACCTTGCCAATCATGGATTCACACGCACAGCTTTCTGCAGTATTACCTTCTGTGACCCATGTCACACACAGTGCCCGATCGTCTCCATGGCATGGGACTCCTTCCAAGAATTCTTTATTGGCCAAATATATACTTCACTTGGTCTTACCGCCACAGGGTTTCGCATTCAAAAGCCCCCGAAGGTTATAGAGATAATTAATTAAATTAATTACCACCAGCTATAATTGAACTGTCGACCTTGTCTGTAGAAGGTTAGGCGCCTAGACCACTAGGCTACAGGACCCTAACCTGATTTTTTTTATTATATTTTTTATTTATTTATTTATTATTATAGTTTATATATATTTTGGGTAGTTTCAAGAAGAGTGAACCCAGTGATATCTTCGTGATAATCACATTATAGGATTAAACACTCGGCCTAAGTTAGGGTTAGTGTTAGGATTAGGTGATAGTATTTTTTAGGCCAAATTCGTTAGTGCTAGTAAACAAATAATGTCATTTCATGATTTCACATAATGTAATAATCACTGGGTTCATTCTTCTTTAAGTGTCTCAATATTTTATCTTTTATTTATCTATTTATGAGAGAAAAAGGGCGGGTAACAATTGTGGACGGATGTCAACAATTGTGAGTAATGGTGAATCGGTCACAAACAATTGTGGGCGATAGTTAGCAATTGTGAGTAAAGGTGGCCAAGTGGAAACAATTGTAAGTGAAAGTCTTAGTAGCAAAAGTTAAACATAGCCGTGGAAGTAAGGAAGGATGATAGAAGGAGGTAAAAACTATTAAAAAAAAAAAACGTTGTAGTATTAGGAAACTAAAATATATTTAAAGCCCAAGATTTGTCCTTAATAAAAATTCTCTCAGACTTCGATGTCTTTAGAAAAGTAAAACTAAGAATCGACTTCTCATTGTTGTTAAGAAACTGTCTAGTGAACTTTGAACCTTTTATATTTTTATTTTTTTTTACTTCTATTTTTCTTTATTTATTTTTATTTCCGTGTTGTTACGCATATGCCCTAGAACTATTCCTAAACGCTACATAATCTCGAACCGCTTATCTTAGTCTCTGCCCATTGTTAAAAACCCAACCCACAGTATTATTATAAGGCTATCCGCCCCAACTTCTCAAAATAGAACCGTCCTATTGTCTCATAATTACCTTAAATTCTACCGTCAGCCTTAGTCTACCCTTTTTAGTATACCCTTAAATTACGTGCATAACCCAAATCGTGACCAATTTAGTAAGAACCCGATCGTGATCTACGTGAATTAAGACCCTAAATCACGTATCTCACATGTCTAACAATCGTAACGAAGAATACATATAAATCCATTAAGTTAACTATTGGAGCTAAATCGCCCCGCAAATTATTATCGCTCTCCCAAACAATAGTAACAATAGTTGCTACAAATAATTGGATATGTACCGTATAGGTGTGAAAAAACGCCCAAGGGCGTTATTCTGAACAATGACCCGGATTAAGCTTAATTTAGGCCAAAGTTCGAAATTGCACCCCTAGGCGTTATTTCGCGCTTATACGGCAAGAATGGGAGTTGATAATCAATAATCATATTAATTGTCTCAAAGTCGATTTTAGAGAATCGAATCCAAAATCAGAATCAGCTCTAATCGAATATAATGGTCAAGCGGAAATAAGGTGGATAAATACTATGAATAATAAAAGTGATACGCGTATGAAAACAAAAAAAATTGAATAAGCGAAAAGATGAATTAACTTGAGATAAATTTAAATAAATCTTTTGCGCGAAGTAATTATTAAGGTTGTCGATCATGTTCTTTTTGGTCTTAGTCCATGAAGACATTCGTATGATTGGCAGCTTAAATCAATTTAATTTTACATTATTTATAAGTTTAAAGTACTTTTTAAAAAAAATAAAACTACGAAGAATAAACAAAAAAGAAGTATATAGAAAGGTTTATTAGGATTGTAGGACTCCACTATTAAAAATAATCAAAATGATTTCTGGTGTTAGAGAAGTTAGCATGGTAATAACCTAATTCTATCTATCTTTAAGAAGTCGCTATCATCACGAAGTTGTTTTTTTATAAAATCTACATAGATCTATCAAGTTATATAAATGTTATATAAAATTTTTATTT